CCTACATACCTACGTAATTACTGTGTTTGTTGTTTATTGACTCTCTCTCTCTCTCTCTCTCTCTGCTAGAACACAAGCTCCACCAGGGCAAGGCTGGCCTTTTTTTTTCATTGACTGATGAATCTTTCGTGTCTAGATTACTTCTTGGTACATAATAGCTGCTCAGTAAATACTTGTTGATCAAAACCTTGGCTTCCATTTCCTCCCTGCCCTGGGTCCTCGCTTCTCAAATTTTCAGGCAGTTAGAAAGACCAAATGTAGTGTCATCCTTACAGCTTTGGCCATGGAACAGTTTAGATATTTGTGAACCGGGGGGCTCCTGCAGGAGCAGCCTGCATGTACGCATACTTGCGTGCACGTGCATGAAACTTCCAAGCATATGGCCCTTTAGCGTTGGGGTGTATGTGTTAGTCTGGTGCTCACAACGATTCTGGGAGATTGGTGTTTTTCTTATTCTCATTTTACAGATAAGAATGAGAAACTGCATTCATTCCTGCACTCACTCATTCATTTATTTTAAAAACCGCCCAGTATTATTGAGGGCCTACCCTATACTCAGAGCTGGTCATAGAGAGTTGAACCAGAGGCCCAGTGGGAGCGCTGAGGGCCTCACCAAGGTCACACACACGGTGAGCCGCGTGTAGGTATTCTGCTTCCGGCCCATGGCTCTTCCTCCTACACCGCAGCTTTGCACATGTGCAAGGGGGGGGTCCTGTGATGTCCACCTAAGTGGGGTCCCTGTAGACACGGCTGGGTATGCGGGAAGCTGGCTACAGAGGGAGGACTGTGGGGTTAAGGTGTACAGTCAAGTCCAGAACCCCAGGGCTGGGCAGGACTTTGGGAGGTCCCTTCTCAGCACTCAAAGTGGGATGCTGTCCACGGTGCTGCACTCACCACCTGAATTCTGGTTCCAGCGGTGGGGACGGACCATTTTCCTAAACTAGTTGGGGCAGCAAGGTTGACTCCGTATTGTAGGCTTTTTGGGAGCTGGACAGTTCTTTATTTTTTTATTATTATTTTTAATGCTTATTTTTTTGAGAGAGAGAGAGAGTGCAAGCGGGGCGGGGGCAGGGGCAGAGAAAGGAGGACAGAGGATCCAAAGCGGGCTCAGTGCTGACGGCAGCGAGCCTGATGTGGGGCTTGAACTCACGAACCACAAGATCGTGATCTGAGCTGAGGTCGGACGCTCAGCTGACTGAGCCCCCCAGGCACCCTGGGGGCTGGAGAGTTCTTAGAGGCCGTCTTATTTATCACCACTTTCATGTTACAGATGAGGAAACTGAGACCCAGAGAGGCTGGGCAACAGGGCAAGATCACACACCTGCTTAGTGGCAAGACCACGATTGCTGTCTCCAAGTCCGCTGCTCTGTGATACCGTGAGTCTTGAGATGTTCTGTGTATGGAAAGATGCCTGTCTCCAGAGTCAAGGCATGGTCCTCTGTGCCACAGAGGGAGTGCAGCCTGGCCATTAACTTCGACTTGCCCCGGGAGTCTTTGTCTTGTTCAGCCTCACAAGCTCTGCCCCTTCCCTCTCCTCCCCTCCTGGTCCCCTAGCTCCCTCCCTCTGCCTCCCAGGGTAGCAAACGCTCAGCTCGAAGTTGCTCCTTGCCTGATTGCATCTGAGAGCTGGAAACACAAGGCTAATTAATGCGTCTGTGACTCTAGGCTTGGCTGCTGGGGCTGGGTCCCCACGCCCTCCCCGAGCAGGCTCTGTGAGCTGGCCCTCTGGCTTCTCCAAGCAGGCTGCCGGCAGATGCATATTTTAACAATGCACATCTGTTGGCTATATAATCTCTCGTATTTGCCCTCCTCACTTGGTGCTTTGATGGAAGACCCCCAGGGGTCTCCCTCTGTTCCAGCCAAAGTGTTTGCTTTGCAATTTTGCTGGAATACCATCTGATTCTGTTCTCACATCTTCCGCAGGTTCTAATCAGGCTCTTACTTTATTTAATTAAAAATCTATCTCAGGCAAATACAGACTAAATTAGGAAGCTCTCTCATTCCTGGAACACAGGGAAGGCAGCCCCCCGCCGGGGAACTGGCTGGGACATTTTCCTGGGCTGAGATGTCACAGCAAAGCAGATGGGGTCTTGGTTGGGAAGCTGGCTGGCCAGGGTAGAAAACACCCCTTCCCGCTGTAGCTGCTCTGTCTATTCACCACTGGGAGCAGACCAGAGCTCCCCTTCCAGAAGGCTGGGTCAGCTTCTGCAAGAAGGGCTTCTCTTCAGGGCAGCGGATGGGGCTGTATATTATAGAGAAACTCAGCCAGGGGCGCCTGGGTGGCTCAGTCAGTTAAGCGGCCGACTTCGGCTCAGGTCATGATCTCGCGGTCTGTGAGTTCGAGCCCCGCGGCGGGCTCTGTGCTGACAGCTCAGAGCCTGGAGCCTGCTTCAGATTCTGTGTCTCCCTCTCTCTCTCTGACCCTCCCCTGTTCATGCTCTGTCTCTCTCTGTCTCAAAAATAAATAAACGTTAAAAAAAAAAATTAAAAAAAAAAAAAAAAAAAAGAAACTCAGCCAGGCTGGGTGCCTCAGGCACAGACCTGCTGGGTCATTAGAGGGGTAGGGACCCACAGAGCCGATTTAGGGGTGCGGATCTGAAGGACCAGCTCAGGGGTGGGGACCCAGGGTGGTCAGGAAGGGCTGGAGGCGGAGCCTGGGGCAGCTCTTTCTTGCCTCAGGTTAGTTTGTTAGGAGTGGTGTCAGTAGAGTCTGAAGGAAAGGTCCCTTTCCGGCTCTCCAGAATCCACCAGGCTCATCATCTGGGGTCACCTGGAAACTCCTCCTTCTTCCTCTTCCACTGCCTTCCAGACTTGTAAACATTTTCCCCCGCACAAGCCAGCTCTGTGCCCAGAAGGCACTGCCAACCAGAGCGAGACGGGGGGATGAGTGCCTTTTAGGAGTGACCTAAGACAAAACTGATGTTCAGATCAGATTCCAAGGCCCCGCTCTCAGGAGCCCGGCTCTTAAGCAACCAGACAAAGGAAATTCTGTTGGCACTTGGGCACGCAGACAGCACTGGTTTGGAGTTGGAAAATCTGGAGTCTATTTTGGGTGGTAATGAAGCCGTGAGTGGCTTTGCTCTCTGAGTCTCAATTTCCTCATCTGTAAAACACAGGGAATAATTTGGACTCGAGATAGCAGAGAGGAGGGAGGCTGTGAATGGTGGAGTGTGAGCGGGCAAAGCTCTGAGGCCAGGACAAGAACTTGAGGACGAGGTCCGTCTCTATTTAGCGTAGGTCCTGAATACACGTGAAGTCAGCGGTGGGCAGTGCTTAGAATCTTCTCGATTTAGCATCCTTTGGTACCTTCTAGAAGGGGTACAAGGCAGCAAAAGGCGGATCCTTCTAAGGATGGGGAGCTGAGTAACCCTTGGAGAGGATGATCTTATAACTGCGCTAACAAATCTGTTCTGGCATTGTTCAGTACCCAAAAAAACCAGAAAATCACTTAGGCGCTAAATCCCCCTGCTCTCCTCCCTCAGCCTCCACACCAAACTGTAGACCCGTTCTGTTTTTAGCCCCATCTCGGGAATGAAGAAGATGTCTGCCTCTCCTTTACAATGCCCGGTTACTTTTCTGGACCCATTCAGGACCCCATTTGGGACCAAGCTATCCCAGCTTATTTACTCTGCCAGACCTGGTGTGTTTTCTTTCCTTCATCCCAGGCCAAGAAGAGACTCAGAGGTGGAGGGAGGTTTCTGAGGTTGGCCCTGAGCTCTGCCTCCTGTCTCAAGAAGCCAAGCCTGGTAAGTGGTCCTCCGGGACTTGTTGCCGTGCTTGGGATAATCTGCCCTGTGTGCTGTCGTGTAGATCTGAAGATAACCTGACACGCTGTTAAATATTTCATACCTGAGCAGCCATGCGCCTTATCTATCAGGTGAGGAGGCAGAACCCCCGCTGCCGACCCTGTTGTTAAACCTCGACAACAGCAGCTAAGAGGCGGGCAGGGTGGAGCCCAGGCTCCCCTGTTTCGTTGCGTGTGCCCTGTCCCACACCTGGCCTGGAGGAGACTCACCGAGGAGGCAGTGCGATGGTGTGGGAGCCCTAGCTGGGAGACCCCGGGCGGGGCCCTTGGCTTCTCTGAGCCTCAATTTCTCATCTGGGGCAACAATCCCTGTGCCATAGCCTTGCTCAGAACAGCTGAGGTGATAACATAAGGGGAAGTGCTTTGAGAGGTGCTGTAAAACGTATGCATATGTTTGCTATTATGCCTTATGTGCACGGCTCCGTTCCCAGGGGACTTGGTCCTCAGTAACATCTGGCCGGAGGAGGGAGCTGACGGGGCTGCACTTGAAATCGGAATGAGGCAGTTTAAGAGGCAGGTGAGCTCACTCACTTGTGTTCAGGCAGGTCTGCCTGAGTGAAGGAATGGGGACCTCTCAGGCAGTGCCCAGTCCCAGGGCGTACTGGGATCCTGGGAAACCAAGATGGAGAAAGGCCAAGGAGCGGAGGTCTGATGTGGGATAAGGGCCTGAAATGAATTCTCCCAGGGATGATTTAGGAAAGGAGCTGGGGTTCGCAGGGAGCAGCGAAGGGTGGGGAAGGAACAGGTGAGGCGGAGGCGATGCTGAAATCACGCTTCGTTAGCACCTACTGGGAAGTCAACCCAGAAAGAACGGGACTCAGGCTCGAGGATGTGGAGGCTGTGTCATAGGTCTTCTCTGTATCTCCATTGCCTAGCACAGGGTCTGACACCCATCGTGCATGCAGAATGCGCTTCCTGATTGAACAAATAAGCATTCAGGAGCCCCTTCAGCTGGAGTCAAACACACTGGGGTTGGACAGGGTCACAGGTCAGTTAGCGTTGGCCTGATTTCCAGAGCAGGAACTTTCACTTTCCCTCTCTTGGGGGAGAAGGGGGGTTACTGCCACCATGGGGCGGCAGTGGACGGAGCCGCGTGGGATAACGCCTTGGGGCTTGTCCCGTGGGGATGCCCTTCTGGAGCTGAGCCCGTGTGCTTCCCGTAGCATCTTTGCCCCCGAGTGTCAACGGTTCTTACCCAGGACGGTGAGGCGTGCGGGGCGAGACCGTATGGCAGCCTGGATGGCCTGGCACTCGTACACGGCATCATCTTGCAGCTCCGCCCGCAGGATCTTCAGGTGATGTTCCCCTGACAGGTGGTTCCCTACCACCAGGTACTGTGGGTAACCTGTGGAGACAGCAGGCAGGTCAAGGGGGGCGGGGGCGGGGTGGAGGAGGCATTCACGACAAATAGGGGAGGGGGTGGGACATCTGAGGAGGGGCCGTTCTTGGTGTAAGGAGAAAAAACGAGAGCTTTCCCTGGCTTTTGGACAGTGTGTGTGTGTGTGTGTGTGTGTGTGTGTGTGTAGGTTCAGGAATGTTGGAGGAACTATTATCAGAGAGGAAGGAGAGAGCAGAGATGGAAATACCAAGTGTGGGCAGACACAGCGGGGACAATACCCTGCAAAGTGGTGTGCTCAGCCCTGCGGTTTACCAAGCAGACATGCATTTTGATAAGGAGACACACAGAGAGACAGAGAGACCCAGGCTGAGAGCCACAGAGAGCAGACAGAGTAAGAAAGAGAGAGAGAAGAAACCAGAAATCTCTGGAACAGAATCAAGAATGACTTTGGGGGGAAAGTTTTGTTCAGGATGGACAGCAAGTAGAAATCCCAGCCCATCCTACCAATGCCTGGGATCCTCGGGCCCTTTTGAACCATAAAGGGTACTTTTCTGGTCACTCCTCCTACCCACCCCAGACCCCAGGACCTGATTAAGCACTTACGAGGTACTCAGGACACTTAGGAATTTGGGGTCCCCTACACTACTGGCGATGCATAATGGATAAATAAAAATTTGAGAATGAGAACATTAATCAGCTTTCCTGCTGCTGTGTAGGGTGAATGCAAATGCCTACACAAGTCGTGGCTGGCAGGTCCTCTGGCCCAGGCCTTGGGCCCTAGACCTCCATAGTCTCTCCCAGAAGGGTCTCTTTTCCATCGCCTTCCCCCCGCCAGCCTCTTACAGATACTTCCTCCTGCTCTCTTCCTTCCACCCACCCTCCAGCAGCCCAAACCACTCCTCTTGCTGAAAGACCTTCACCAGAACAGTGTGAATTCTCAGAAATGTGCCACAGGAGGAGGGGGTTCGCCATATCTGGCTTTTTAAAGAGAAGATGAGGGCTTAAGCAAGTTGAGAGAGAGAGAGAGAGACAGAGAGAGAGACGGAAACAGAGAGACTGGGCTATGCAACAGCTCTCCAGTATTTCAGTCTCTAAGTGTGGATTAGATGTGTTCAAGTAGCTCCCAGGGATTGCATTAGCACCACATGGGGAAATACTTTGGAATATTCTTAATACAATTTGAAATGTCCCACAAGGATCTGGGCTGCCACAGGTGGTAATGAGGTCCCCATCAGTGGCTGTATCCAAGCAGATGCTGGTGATCACCTGTTAGGAGCACTGCAGAGGAGATTTCTATTCTAGATGGAATATTGGAGCTCTAACCCCTCCCGTCATAAGCTAAGGGTCTTGCAGAGACAGGGCAGGGCTCCCCAAAGGTGAGCTGTACAGGGGTCACAGGCACTCATTCCTCGGCAGGGAGATAGTGGTGATCCTTCCCAGTAAGTATTCTGGGGGCTTCCTGTGTGGCTGAGCCCTTCATCTCATGTCTTCATGGCTCCATCGTCCCCATCGTGCAACCAAACGGCCCGCCCTGCACAGCTGTTCTGGCCTGGCCAGAGATGCTCACAGGGCAATCAGCTCTACCCCCAAGAGCATCACCTCCCCTCCTGCCCGCCCTTCCTGCCCTCTGCTGGGCTTTGGGAAGAAGCCCAGGTAAGTTAAGCTGGCTCACCCCAGGGCCAGGAGGAGGGGCTGGGAATGGGTTCCAGTCCAGCCCTCTCCCTGCTGCTGCCCTCAATGTAGCTGGCTCACCGCCCCCAACCCTTCCGGCCCAGCCTCTGGATCCCGCTGTCCTTGATTAGTCCCTGGTCTCCTGCAGGCATCTTGGCTGGAGCTTGTGTTTTTGTTGTCTTGCAGGCTATCAGCAGCAGGATTTCGCTCTCATGAGCTGCTGAAAACATCAGTGATGGGTTTGTTTGTATTTGCCTAATTAGGCAACGAGCTGAGACGCTCTCGCAAGGGCTGGCAGCATCTTTGGAAAACACAGGCCCAGAAGCATAGATTCTGAGCAAGTTCTAGCTCCTTCCATAGTATCATTACTCTCTCTTGCTGCCCTCAGGGGAAGCAAGATGTTGGGGAATCTGGGTTCTCCAGTCAAAGTGCCTGGGCTCAAATGCCAACTCTGTTACTTCCTAGCTCTGTTGTCTTGGGTAAGTTACTTTAACTTCTTTGTGCTTCGTCACCACTATCTCATGGTGAAGATTAACTGGGATAATCCATGTTAAGTGTGTGGCACACAGTAAGTCTATTAATGCTGGTTTATTTATTTATTAAAAAAACTTTTTTAGAGAGAGAGAGAGCATGAGTGGGGGAGAGGGGCAGAGGGAGACAGAGAGAGAGAGAATCTCAAGCAGACTCCGCACCGAGCGTGGGATGACCCTGGGATCATGACCTGAGTCGAAATCAAGAGTCAGATGCTCAACCGACTCAGCCACTCAGGTATCCCCATAAATGCTGGTTTAAAGGAAAACGACAGTGAGACAGGGTAACCAGAAAGGCCCCCATCTTTAAAAGTGAGAACAGACAGGGTGTTAGGGTTTTGGGGGGGTTAGGAGCCAGGATCCCACACATTGAGGTTCGGTATATGTTTGAATCAGTTTCTTTCTAGACTTGTGACTTTGTTTACCTGTCAAATAAAGGGGAGAAATCCTGCTTTTTCTCCCTGTAGATCACTGTAGATTTGTGACATAATGTCTGAGAATTATTTGAGCTTCTTTGATGAAGAATGTTCTATCAATATGAGGGCATATATTTATAAATCATTTCCTTTGAATGTTTTTTCCAGCCTCTGTGACCAGAAAGACAGATCTTCACTTAGGGTGTGAATGCTGGTGGATGGAGCCAGGCCACATAGTCAAAACAGAAGAGGACAGACCTGCGGCAGGTTAAAGTCTAGCCACTGTGGGCCTCAGTTTCCCCACAGGAAAAGCTGTACAGTATTAAGTGCTCTGCGAATACTTGCTGGATTGAATTTTGATCTGTTAGTCTCACTTTCTTGTCTGGGAAGCAAACGGTATTTATTGAGCGTGTGAGTCTCTGTCATTATTGTCATGATGCTTTTTTGGGGGACAGGTGATCAAACACAGAAAATACTTTCCCAGGAATTTGAATTTATTGGCTCTGCAAGGACAGGGACAGCCTTATTTGTATCAATGGAGTCAAATCAGAGAGGAAGTCGACCCCAGTTCCTTAAAACCCCATTGACGCAATCCTGATCCCAAAAGTCATTCATGGAATGGATTCCAGAAGGTCAATTTTCCATGAGGTGATGAACATCTGTGGTGACCTGGGGCTTCCTCTTGGCCACCTCTCGGCCAAAAGACCCCAGTCCTTGACCGAAGGCTGCAAACCACTGACTAGGAACCCAGAGTACCTCCTTAACTAGCAAAGATGCTGGACCAAGTTCAGAGCCACGTGAAGCATAAGTGATTCTAGTTTGGGAAGGTGATATCATTCCCCCAGATTTCTCTAGGGTAAGGAAGTTCAGAACCCCTTAAATTGACTAGCTCCCATAATGCTTAAATTTTACGGCAGCACAGTATATTTTGGAGATATTGTGTATTTTACCCATGCTCAGCTGGGCTGCAGCACTCCAACCCAGCGATGCTATTGACCACGGCTATAACGTTTCAATATACATTTTTGGCAAGACATAACTCACATCTTAAAATATTAATTTCCCAACCATCATGTTCCCGAGTGCACTTCGATTTTTATTTTCCTGCAGCTGCACGCCACGAGAGAAGCAAAGCTACTTCTCAGTCGAATACGTATGTTTTTCTACACCTCCACCCTCAGCGGTTCCCCAATGGCAGGGACGCCCAGATCTCTTGTTCTGAATTTTATAGGTTATGCTAAACCCAGCAGTCCCATGTTTACTTTCCCCAGGGGAGAATGATAATTGCTGGGGGCTGAGTGACCAGGAGGATGATGCTATTCTTTTTTCTCCCCAGGGAGAGAGGATGGACTGCAAAGACATCTGTATGAGCTTAAGGACTGACATCCACAGTCGTTAACAGATGACAGGGCCTGTGGCATTGAGCAGGGAGGTCAGATGCCAGCCACAGGAGCCTACTAGGACATCTCTGCTCGACACCTGCCTGGGCAGGGGGCTCAACAGGGTTTGTACTTTAAATGCTCCTTCTCTTTTCTTCCCATCACATGCTAACCCCTAAAACCAAGCAGTTTGGTTGTGAGTTTTCAGTTTATTTGGCTCCCTCTGATCGATGGGAGCTAGGAAAAGCCAGGCTGTGATGTAAGTGGGGAATACATTTTGGACCCAGATACGGGGACACTTTACCTTTGGAAATGTGACTTTACAGGAGTCGTGTCTGACTTTAGAATAGACCTTCCGGAGCAAAAGTCTATTAGGTTCAGGACCGACCACCGGAATTGAGGGTTTACTTGTAATTCCTTACCAGGAGTCAGAAGGCCCTTGAAGTCCCATGGATCCCGGGCCCAGGGCTTGCCTAATCTGACTCTGACCAGGGGATATTCCACGAGAGCTGGAGATTTGATCTCCAAGTACCAATGAAGATGGGGTTCTCCCCAGGGGGGTGGGTGGGTCATGCGAGAAGGGGTTCCAGGCCTTCCCAGGGAGCTCTTGGGGGTACTCACTTGAGAGGTCCCTGCCCACACCCAGAGCCAAGCCGTCTTTGATCCACAGAACGAAGCCATCATACTCGGGGATGGCGCACAGCAGTGTCACTGGCTGGCCCGACACCACGGCCTGGTCCTGGGGCTGCTGGCTGAAGGAGTATACTTGGCCTGGGAAGGAGACAAGCACAGGGGTCAGTTAGTGCAGGGAGCAGTGCCTGGACGGCTTCTCCTCAAGTTAAGAAGCAGAGCAGTTGGCCCAGGGGATAAGCAGCTCTCTCTCTCTCGCCAGCATCTGACTTCCTGCCTGCAGCCCAGCGGCACTTCCTGTCTGCCCCCTGCTTAATTCCCTGCTCTCAGCAGCTGGCTCTCGGCTCAGCCCTCCTGCTCATCCATCCTTAACACACATTCACACTGTGAGGCGGCCTCCCCCAGCCCCGAAAGAGGCCGTGCCCGCCGTGCTTGGGACGATCTCTGCCACTTTCCATTTGGCTCCTACCTACCGCCACATGCTTGCGCCACAACAGGGCAGAGGAGGAGAGAGCCTTCCAGCTGCGAGCATCCTTGGGAGGTGCCTCAAGAAGGCAAGGTTGGGGGGGAGTGGTGTGGTTTGCTTAAAAACCCGGGAACCTGGGAAAAATATTACTGTTTAATTCGGGCCTACAGCCAAATTCCACAGGACACGTGGTGGTATAGTGTGGTCCAGAGTGTGCTGGCAGGAGCTGGAAGTCACCTCGACTCACCCTCTTTGTCCCTCTCTTTCCGATGGCACACCCAATTCTGGCCTCACTGTCACCTGGGGGACCATCGCCAGGGTGACCCCCAGCTCTCCCCTAGACACCTCAGAGCAAGAAGGCACTGAGCCATCTCAGCAGGTCAGTTCATGTATTCATTTTATTTATTTTTATTTTTTTTTAATTTTTAAAAAATGTTTTTATTTATTTTTGCGACAGAGAGAGACAGAGCATGAGCAGGGGAGGGGCAGAGAGAGAGGGAGACACAGAATCCGAAGCAGGCTCCGGGCTCTGAGCTGTCAGCACAGAGCCCGATGCGGGGCTCAAACCCACGAACAGTGAGATCATGATGCGAGCCAAAATCAAGAGTTGGACGCTTAACCCACTGAGCCACCCAGGCGCCCCAGTTCATGTTTTATTACACAAACACACCCACAGTGCATGCAATATGCCAGGCGTTGCTGTAAGATTTTCAAATGCTAGCTCTTTACTATTTTCATCTTCATAACAAACTATGAGGTAGCTACTATTTTGATCCCTGTTTTCCGGACGAGGAAATGAGGCCCGAGGAGGTAAAAAATATGAACAGAAGCTGTGCTTGATGACGACTTAGCAAGTACTGAGCGTGTATCCCCTTTAGTTGTTACAGTAACCATCACACCCGGATCTCACCAGCCCCAGTTCGCAGGGGCTTGGAGGTTAACTAAATCATCTGGGAATTGTCTCCCGGCAGGACTAGGGCTGTAGACGAAGACTTTCTGGCTCTGAAGACCGTGTTTTCACCTGCTGAGCTGTGCTGTGCCCAGATCCCTAAGCTGGTCCTGCGGGGAATGCTGAGGAAGCAGGGTGATGTGATCCCTCTTCCCCGGGAGGCCACAGCCGAAAGGACAACAGGACACCGACGTTTCCTGAGCCCCCGACCCACAGTGGCCTCCATTCCGTTACCTGCATAGTTACATTGCAGGGCAGAAATATCCCAATTTTACGGCAAAGTAAACAGGATCAGAGAGGCAAAGTAAGCTGCCCAAGATCACACAGCTAATGAGCGGTGGAGCTGGGGTTCGATGGAGGTCCATGTGGCTTCCAAGCCCGCATTCTTTCCCACGCCCTGCCTGGCAGATACAGATACACGCTGAGGGAAGGTGGACCTGGTGGGCGGGTTGTTGCCACGGCCTCTTCTCCCCGACGTGGGAGAGTCAGGGACAGACACGGAGGTCCTGGATGCTAGGTGTTGCCCATCCTGGGGACACAATACCCCAGGCTTGGACCACAGGTAAGGCCATGCTCTTAGCAGCAGACGGCCCCAGTAAGGGGGTGACTGACATATACAGAACCCAAGGGAAGCTGGGCATGGTGGCCAAGTGGGTGCGGGGGCTCCCCGAGAGGAGCCGCCGAATCCACATCAGAGAACTCATGGCAGGGGGGAAGGTAGCCGCGTTTACAACCTGATGAGATCTTGGCTGGGTCTCTGAGGAGTCTCATTAAAAATCAAATTGGCCCTGAATTGTGGGAGTAACACTTTTTATTCTGATTTGAGCTTTACAAATTAGATTTCATAGGACATTTTAATCAGCTATGTGTGGTGGGTTTATTTATTTCTTTCCTCTCCGTCTCTTCAAGTTCTCTGTTGTAATTAGACCGTTTCTGGCACCAAAGCAAGAGAGAAAGAAGGAGAAAGAGAAGGGAGAAGAGAAAGGAGAAGTGGGGGAGGGGGGCAGGTAGCTGGAGAAAGCGGAAGAGGACTGGGTGAGGGGAGGGAAAGGGGAGGGTTGGAGAGGCCAGAAGAAGGGAGACAGGGAGGGAGGAGGGGGGG